CAATCTCTTCAGGATCTCTGTAGAAGTAGAGATCAGGCATGACCTCCCACGGGTGTTCACGGGAAATGGTGCCACGCATGCGCAAAACTTCCCGAGCCAGCATCCACCACATCAAACCCACTGAGTGAGCTCCCTTGTTGTTGCGTGGGATGGCAATGTCCACATAGCGCAGAGGAGAATCTGTGTTACACAGAGCAATGGTCGGTAGGTTAACATAAGACGCCTCCGTGAGAGGCTGGTAGTCAGCCCTTGGGTTAGTAACCACAAGCAGCCGTGGCTCCCGGAAGGTTGCCTGGATCTGGTTGGTGAAGGTTCCAGGAGTAAAGCGGCCAGCAATTGGGTGGCTCCAGTGGCAGCAGCAAACTTCAGCACGGCCCTCTGGCCAGTATTCCTGGAGGATATAACACTGACATCAGCAGGGTTTTCAATAGCAACAATGGCACGAGCTGCCAGGAGAAGCTTCTCCCAGGTCCTCTTCAGATTTATGATGTAGATGCCATCACTTTTCCTTTTATAGATATACTGTTCCATCTGGAAGTCAAGGTTGGTGCCACCTAAATGCGTTCCTGCTGCCAGGAACTTAAGGACATCCTCCTCCTTCATTTGCAGGACATCAAGCGCTCCGGACATTGTGAAAGTTTCCCTTTAAGTCACGACGGGAATTCAGAACAACGCCGTTTGGAGCCCTCGGCAGGTAGCGCGGAAAAGCGCTTGCTTGCTTTTTGAGACAGAGTGTCTCTCTATCGCCCAGGCTGAAGTGCAGTGGCGCTGTCTCGGCTCACTGCAACCTCCACCTCCTGAGTTCAAGCGACTCTCCTAACTCAGCCTCCCGAGCAGTAGTTGGGATTACAGGCATGTGTTACTACACCTGGGTAATTTTTGTATTTTTAGTAGAGACGGAGTTTCAACATGGTGGTCAGGCTGGTCTCGAACTCAAAAGACAAAATCATTTAAAAAGCACTATATACATATGTTAATGGGACCATAACATATATCGAAATAACTTCTGCCATTAATAACAGAAAGTGAGAGCAGAGTTGCAAAGTAGAGCTTTGGGTACCTAAACAGTTACACTGTTAATACTTCAAAATAGTATGTTTTAACTTCACAGTATTTGAAGTAGCCGCAATGCTAACAACAACAAAACAAATCTATCAGACACACACAAGAGATGGGATTCAAGTATGTCACTACAATGAAACAAGCAAAATACTACAGAAGGTAGTAAGAAAGAAATGTGGGGAAAAAATCTACAAGATATTAAATGATCTACAGAAAATAATCCAATATGTGTTCTTTTAATAGTTTCTCCTATGTTTGGTATTCTCCTTCTCATGTAATTTTGGCGTGATCTAACTTTAGAATCAGAAGAAAACAAGATTTACTAAATTCTACTTGCAAGAAACTCCGTTTAACTCTAAGGATACACATAGGCTGAAATTGAAAGGATGAAAAAATATATTCCATGCAAATAGTAACCAGCAGGAAGTACAGGTGGCAGTGTTAATATGAGAGAACAGATTTTTACTCAAAAACCGTAAGAGACAAAGACGAGGCCAGGCGTGGTGGCTCACGCCTGTAATCCAAGCACTTTGGAGGCCAAGGCAGGTGGATCACCTAAGGTTAGGAGTTCAAGACCAGCCTGACCAACATGGTGAAACCCCGTCTTAAAAAATAAAAAG